GAGAGAGAGAGAGAGAGAGAGAGAGAGAGAGAGAGAGAGAGAGAGAGAGAGAGAGAGAGAGAGAGAAAAGGTGAACAGTAACAATTATATGATGCACACTAAAATTTGCTTCAGTTTTCTCTTTTTTTAATTCTGTACCTGCTAGAATTCCTTCACTTTTAAACCTGCAGGAACTTGTTCCTAGCTGTCAATTTCCTAATCTTCCTAGCTGTCAATTTCCTAATCCTGTTCCTTAATTCCTTGTGGATGTGATAATTGTGGGATAGGAGATGACATCTTGTCTTCTCTTTTCCTGAAACTTTCCTTCATTGTCCAAGAAGTACTTCAGCAAGCATTTTTGTTTCAACCTCTGAGTCTCCAGATTTTAGCATGGGATGAATGTGATTAAATAAATGAATAACTGAATAGAGGAATAAATGTGTTGCAGGCGGGGAGAAGATCCAGCAGAACAGACCTAACTGGGATATCTTTTTTTATTGTTATATAGAAATTTGAAGGCGGCTTCTACAAAAACCTACGTGTACTGTACAAGACAGATGATGGTGTCTTGGAGATGGTGATGGAAATTAAGGTTGTGGCTGACTCACAGAGTTTTAGTATACTTAATGCCTGAAATCCTAATAAAATCTAAAGGGTGCTGAGATTCATCCATGGCTTCCAGAATTGGGGTTCATGTCCAGGAAGCTGAAGAAAAGGCAGACAGAGATTTATATGCTTGTTTGTAGTCTTAGAGTCATCTGAAATGGTTGGAAAGTGTTCCCTTCCCTGACTTGTTACATCTTCTTCTTGGTCTCTTTCAACCAATTTTTAAAAAAAGGTATTTTGTAGCATCCTATGTAGAAAATCTATATGATCCCTAAGACTGAGAATCCCTGGATGGCATATGATCAATCAACCAATTGATTAATCAGGATAGTCATCCTTGCCCGCTCAGTTACAAGAAGAGATGGGCAACTTCCATCACCTTGGATTCTTGAGGGTAGGTCAGAGAGAGGTTTAGGGTTTTGATCTTCCACCATCTCAAGAAATCTCAGCCCCATTGCACAAAATTGGACTCCCAACTCAACCACACTTGCCAATCTGTTTAGTCCTGTCTCAAACAAGGTCAGCACTGCTCAGTGTTATGATTGATATCTGACGATCTGGGAATTCATAGACTATATTCACGAGGAGAACAGCAGGCATAAATACAATACTATCCTTAATTTTCATGGATGGAGGAGATTGTTTTAAATATTGTTATACTCTTTTATGCAGTTTGGAAATGTGGACAATGGTAGGGATGAGATAAACATTCTTTGTCTGTCTTCTTGTTGAAATTCTTAGGTTCACAAACTGGGCTACTGTGGTCTTATTTATATATTAATTTTAAGGGCTTTTTAAAGGATAAGTTCCTTTAAGCCATTGATCTTATGACGAGGTAGATCCAGGCATAAGAACAATGACTTGAGGTGACAATTTGAGTTTCATCTTTCAAAATAGCCTTTAAAAATAATCACCAATTTTTTTTTGACCCTATCCATTCTGGGACTGGAAAACTGTTTGATGTTTAGCATTTATATTGATTATTGTAGCAACTCTCAGGTATGACCTTATATTAGCTATCTTTTTGATAAAGAACAAGCAAGAAGCAAGAAAGTAAATGGAGTAAACTTTTTAGGCTCCAACCATACATTATAATTCCCTTATGGTTGTTAAAGCATGAGATGGTTGAGAAAGCAGTGCCAATGAATATGCACCTCCAATAATTTTCATAGAGTGCACTAATTAAATTTAATTCAGATTACTGGGGCCAAAATTCAAGCTCCCCTTCAAATATGGGAATCAATTGATCATGCTGGATCACTGTCAGTTGTTAGAACCAGATTCCTTTTGTGTGTCATTTCTTGTTCTAATGATTTTAGACAATGAACAAGGAAATCTCATGGGAAAACCAAAGCTACCAAGGAGAATTCATCCTGCTGGGGGTGGCTGACCGGCCACGCTTGGAGATGTTGCTCTTTGCCCTTGTTCTTGTTTGCTACATGATGACCCTCCTGGGTAACACTACTATCATTGTTGTGTCAAGACTAGATCCAGGGCTCCATACCCCCATGTATTTCTTCCTCAGCAATCTTTCCTTCCTTGACATCTGCTTCACCACCAGCCTTGGCCCCCACATGCTGTTGAATTTCTGGAGAAAAAGCAAGACTATCACTTATGGTGGCTGTGTGGCTGAGCTCTACATCTCCCTTGCTCTGGGCTCCATAGAATGTATTTTGTTAGCTGTCATGGCCTATGATCGCTATGCTGCCATCTGTCACCCACTGCACTACACTACCATTATGAGCCACTCTCTGTGTTTCACGATGGCTGCTATCTCCTGGATAAGTGGCTTCAGCAACTCACTAGTTCACACTGTGATGATTCTAAGGCTTCCACTGTGTGGACGGAATCAAGTGGATCATTTCTTTTGTGAGCTCCCTGCCTTTCTTCAATTGGCTTGTGTTGACACTTCACTTAATGAGGTTGTAATGTTTTCTACTAGTGTATTGTTCCTCCTAGTACCAGTTAGTCTCATCACAGTCTCTTATGGCTATATAGCTGCTGCAGTGCTGAGGATTCACTCAGCTAAGGGAAGGAAGAGAGCCTTCAACACTTGTTCCTCCCACTTGATGGTGGTCTGGCTCTTCTATGGCACAGCCATTTTCAATTATTTCCAGCCTCTGTCCATCTCCTCCCGTGATTGACGCTAGATGATTTCCCTTTTCTACACCTTTGTCACCACCATGCTTAACCCACTGATCTACACTCTGAGGAACAAAGAGGTGCATAAAGCTCTCCACAGACTAATGAAGAAGAACTAAACCCATAGTTCGAAGCTGCATTTCAAGATTCAACAGAAATGTTCTTTATTTGTTATTCTTAAGGTACTTTTCATTGTGTTTTTTCTCTTTTTCATAATAAACATGTAACATATCTTGGTGACACACTAGTACACAAGGCTGTAAAT